TCAAGCTCCTTGATGCAGACATGATTTACCCCATTTCCGACTCCAAATGGGTTAGTCCGGTTCAAGTGGTTCCCAAGAACACGGTTATTGAAAATAACAAGGGAGTAATGGTACCCACTCGAGTTCAAAATGGATGGAGGGTGTGTATTGATTACAGAAAGCTGAATCCAAGCACACAGAAAGATCATTTCCCCCTTCCTTTCATTGACCAAATGCTCAAGAGATTGGCGGGAAAATCTCATTATTGCTGCCATGATGGATACTCGGGTTTTCATCAAATACCCGTTGCCCCCGAAGATCAATACAAGACGACTTTTACATGCCCTTTTGGCACATTTGCCTACAAACGGATGTCATTTGGATGAATGGTGAGCATCTTCTCCGAGTATGTTGAGAATATAATTGAAGTGTTCATGGATGAATTCACCGTATATGGCAATTCGTTTGATGAATGCTTGGATAACCATAAGAAGATTTTGAAAAGATGCATTGAGAAGAAGTTGGTATTAAACTTTGAGAAGTATCACTGCATGGTCAATCAAGGCATCATCTTGTGACACATCGTCTCCAAAAAGGGAATTGAAGTTGATAAAGCCAAAATAGATGTCATACAAACCCTTCCTTACCCAACATGTGTTAGAGAAGCGAGATCTTTCTTGGGCCATGCGGGATTCTATAGGAGATTTATCAAAGATTTCTCGAAGATCACGACACCGATGTGCCTCCTTCTCAAAAAAGATGTTGAATTTGACTTCAATGTAGCATGTCAAGAAGCCTTTGACAAACTTAAAGACCTACTCACATCCGCTCCCATTATCCAACCTCCAAATTAGGAGCTTCCTTTTGAAATAATGTGCGATGCAAGCAATTTTGCCATTGGAGCCGTTTTTGGTCAAAAGGATGGCAACGCATCACATGTTATCTACTATGCGTCCATAACCTTGGATAATGCTCAAGCCAATTATTCTACCACCGAGAAGGAACGTCTAGCCATTGTCTTTGCATTGGAGACATTTCGACAATACCTTCTTGGGACAAAAGTGATTGTATATTCCGACCATGCAGCCTTGAAGTATTTAATGACCAAGAAAGATGCCAAGCCATGGTTAATTTGGTGGATTCTTCTTTTACAGGAGTTCGATCTTGAGATAAAGGACAAAAGTGATGCCGAAAACCTAGTTGCGGATAACTTAAGCCGTTCGAATATTGGTGGCTCCTCTTCTTCCATCCTTGATGAATTTCCGGATTAACACCTCCTCTATCTTTCAAACACCATTCCATGGTATGCGGATATCGTTAATTACTTGGTTACTAAAGAATACCAAAAGGCGAAGTTGAAGAGTGACTCCAAATACTACGTGTGGGACAACCCTTATCTTTGGAAACATTGTCCGGATCAACTAATACGGAGGTGTGTTCACCAAAATGAGGTCTAATCAATCTTCAAGTTTTGCCATGAGTATGCATACGGAGGCCATTTTGGTCAAAACAAAACCATGCAGAAGGTGCTAGAATGTGGACTATATTGGCCAACAATGTCAAGAGATACCTATCTATTTTGCAAGAGTTGTGATAGATGTCAAAGAATGGGAACCGTATCCATGAAGCACGAAATGATTAAAAACCCTATCCTCATTTCTGAGATCTTTGATGTATGGGGAATCGATTTCATGGGCCCATTCCCCGTCTCTTTCGGTTATACTTATATACTCTTGGCGGTTGATTAAGTCTCAAAGTGGGTGGAAGCAAAGGCTACAAGGTATGATGATTCTAAAACCGTAATTGACTTCTTGAAGTCAAATATTTTTGCAAGATATGGTGTACCAAGAGCCTTGGTGAGTGATAGGGGCACTCATTTTTGCAACAAAATTATGGAAGCCATGATGAAGAGATATGGTGTCACACACCGGATATCAACCGCCTACCATCCACAAACAAATGGCCAAGCCGAAGTGTCAAATAGAGAATTCAAGCAAATTCTTGAAAAGACGGTCAACACCACACGAAAAGATTGGAGCTTGAAGTTAGAAGATGCATTGTGGGCGTATTGGACCACCTACAAAACTCCAATTGGCATGTCTCCATTCCGCCCTGTATATGGAAAGTCTTGTCATTTACCGGTGGAATTGGAACACAAGGCATATTGGGCGGTTAAAAAGTGTAATTTCAATATTGAAGAAACCAGGAAGCACCAGAAGATGCAACTTCAAGAACTCGAAGAGTTGAGGAATGAGTCTTATGAAAATGTAAGCATCTACACAGACAAGACAAAAGCGTTTCATGACAAGCACATTACTCGAAAGCATTTTATTCCGGGCGAAAAATTTCTTCTTTATCATTCACGGTTAAAGCTATTCCCAGGAAAATTGTGATCTCGATAGCACAAACCTTTTATTGTTATAAAAGTGTTTGATCATGGTGCAGTTGAAATTAAGAGTTTGGAAATGAATCAAATATTCAAAGTGAATGGGCACCGTTTGAAACCATTTTATGAAGGCTTTGACATGGGAGAATTCGACAACGTAACATTGGAAACTCCGATTTATGAAGGTTAACGAAAACAGGGCTATATCTTGGCAAAGACGTTAAATAAATGCAATGTGAATAAATAATCTCTGCTTGAAGTTTTGATGTTTTTAGGCTTGAAGTTGGTCAAAAAATAAGCATCTTGAGGTTTAGCAATGATCTTGGTAAAGTATGGAAGAAAACCGGAGCTTGTGGAGTGAAAAATTGCAAAAACAAATGTCAAAAATCTGCAATTTGCGCGGCTTGACTGCTTACCCGCGCAAACGTTGCGCGACCCAGCCCCAGTCGCACAAATCCGAGCTCAAAATTACTCCAACACGATATGTATTCTGATGTGTGCGCGCGGATGCTCCCCCCACCCGTGCAGGTTTTGTGCAGCCTGATACCCACCCTCGCAACCACTTGTGCGACCTGCGTCCCACCCTCGCTGACCCTTGCGCGACCAAGAACAAACGAGACATTGCCTTTGCGCGACCAACTCACACTCCTACCCGGAACCGATTAAACTTCATCCGCTCGTGCCCCACCCGATAACCTGACCTGTACTCGACCCATTTCTGACCCAAACTTATATCCCCTTAACCCGTCGGACCCCCCTAAACCTTTCCCCCTTGTAACTCCCGTCCACAGCGAATGCAACTTCCCCCATCGCCATCAACCGCCGGCGGACTTCAACTAACCACCACCGGTCGGTGCTTCCGGCCTCACCATCGCCTCTCGCCATGAACCGCCGACGACCACCATACATCTCCCTCATTCCTTCATCTCCAGCCAACAACAACCAATTTTTTTCACTTATCCTTCGTCACCGGAAATCACCCACCCGCCAACACAGTCCTCCCCTGCTTCTACCACTGGCGCATCCCACCACCCTAACCCCTAACCAATTCCGACCACCCCCACACCATTTTACCACCGGTAAACAGCAATCCCGCCACCACCTCTTTAACTCGCCGGAAAAATCGAAAAAAAAACCTCATTCCGCCACCACCTTCCATCAAAATTCAAAATTTCTTGGGGCATTCTTCACCAAATACTTCCGACCACGCCGATCTACAATCAATTTGGGAAAATCCACTCGCTATAAAAGCTATCTCCGCCACTGGCCACCGTCTGCCGCCGCCCCTCATTTTGACGAAAATTTCCAAAATTTTTGTTTCTCACCGTAGATTCACAAGACTCAACCTTGCGGGCCCAATTCAAGCTTGGGGTGCGGTTTTAGCATTTTTCCTTTCGGGTTTCGACACTCGAATTTGGTATATTACTTTTAATTTTCTTGCATTCAATTTTTAATTTTGATAGACTAATGCCATGCATTAGGGTGCTTAGAATTGACTTGCTTTGAATTGATTGGATTACATTACCTTGAATTGTGCCAAATTGCAAGTTTGGAGTGTTTTCCCGGTTTATATTTATATTTTTATTTTTCTTTGGATTGATTGGATTGGTGTGAGGCTAGTGTGAGGGATAATCTTGGTCAAGCTTTTGTCTTTGCTAGGTTCTATTAACAGGTACAATGGGAAAGAACATAACCATTCACGCGTCTCATGGTTCTTCCCGCGAAGCTCAATCGTTGAGATCATCCAAAAAAGTCTCAACCGAGCATGCCGATCGTGATGGTAAATCAGTATTCACTAGTGTACAAATCAATCAATTCAATTCAAACCTCCAAAAACGTGCAATCCGAGCCACCAAATTTTACCACCGAGAATCCATGATCAACCTTGGCCTTGACGATTGCTTGCAACAGATGTTCCTCAACATGGGTTGGCGTGATTACCTAGCTCTTTCTGCGCACACATACAAGCAACCCACACTCGAGTTCCTTTCCACTTATGCACGAGATGACACGACGGAGGTGCTCACATTTAGACTTTAGGGTCGGCAGCACCGACTCACCTACGACACCTTCAACACTATCATGTGAACATACGACAACCAAAACACCAACATCTATAGTTATCAATGGACTCAATTCAAGAGCTTTCCCAAAGTAGAGTTTTGAACTTAGATCACGAGTTTTCCAAAATTCAATCCAAGTCGACAAAAAGACCCTTACATCATCCATCATTGTTGGAGAATCGCCCACCAGATTCTTTCAACTTCCATCTTTGGTCGTCACGAACCAGGAGAAATAAACACAGTCGAGCTCTATTTCCTCTATTGCATGTCCTGCCACCGTTGGTCTAGCCCCGGTTTTTCCACTTTTTTCTTGGATAAATGTGACAACATACAAATGAAGTCCACTGGAGACATTTGCATTGGATGTCTCATTACCCTAATTGGTTTGGGTGTGGGCCTTCAATTTCCCAAGTCTGAGTATGTGCCAGTGGATGACCCGCCTATCTACCTCCTTGACTTCGTAGCTCTCACTCGGATGGAATTGTTACTATATACCAGCAATGGCCATTACTCTTGGCTCAATCATGCCAAGGAATCCGTCTACATCTTACCTCACTCCAGCATTTTAGCCTTTACCACCAGGGACCCTGAAACTTGGTTCTTACCTGAAGAGTTAAGTATTGATGATGAAGCAGGTGATGATGATGACATGCAGGTCGACATTGCCAATGCTGATAGCCCATTTGAGGCCAAAGACCATTATGACCTCCCAATCCGACAACTGCCACCACCCTTTCATGATCAGCCTTCGGGAGCACACTTTGAGCCATAACATGAGTACCAGTCCTATCAAAAACACAACAAGCTGGGACCCGAGTTTCCTCTTGATATATAGCGTCAGCTTGCTGCCTTGCGTTGTCAGGGAAACCAGAATGAAGCAGCCATTCGGCACATCGAGGAGCAGCAAGCTCGCACCAACAGCTACATGGAGGATCTTTGGCATCATTTTCAGCCTGAAGGTAGTTACCATCCTCGCGGGCCCCCTCCACCTTGATCCCGTTACGATCCTTCCTTACTCTCATCCTAAGCATTAAGGATAATGCTTAATTTTAAGCTTGGGGTGAGTTATTCTTTATCTTTTATTTTTTTGATTGCATTTAGGTTGTATATAGTTGCATTTAGAGTAAGTCATTTAGGCCGATGTGTGCGAGCAAATATTAGCCCGGTAAGGTATTTTGAAGACATTGAAGACTCGCATCTTGGTTTTGGGGGGAATACCCCTTAATACTCGTGAGTCTCGTCCGAGCCTTGCTTAGTTAGATTCTCACTGCCTTTTTAAGATACGTCATCATTTTTCTAGGGGTCTAGAGTAGATAATTAGATAGATTTTGTTTATCACACCTTCCATTGAGGTGCTTGATGAACTTTGAGGCGGGTCCCTCAATTCACACTTTTTTGGGACCAAGTTGTTTCGGTAACACCCATTTTTGTGTCATTCCCCATCCTTTTTAGTAGATCTTAACACATTGTCAATGATCATTAGGTATTCATGTTAGCCTCTATCTATTGCTCCATTTCCACTATTGGAGTCCTATGTTATATGGTGAAATTCCTTAGACCTTCCAAGAAAGAAAGACAAGAAGAAAACACACAAAAAAAATGAAGAAATTGGAAAAGCGAAAACAATAAGAAGCAATAAAAGAAGATTCAAGAAAAGCAACAAAAAGAAAGAAGAAAAATAAAGAAAAAAAAGCAACACAAAAGAAGAACAAGAATCCAAGTTCAAGACTTCTCTCCAAAAAAAATGAGAGAAATAAGAAGACAGAAGATCGAGCAGCAAGGAGACTGAAGACCAAATAACAGAAGTTCAAGATTGAAGATTTATGTTGTTAGGTTTAGATTTAGGTTAAGTAGAATTTTTATTATTTTTATTTTATTTTTGATTTTGGTGAGAAAAGGAAATGAAGATGAGACGGTAGACTCTAAAGGGCAGTACAAGGGAGAAGCTCCTGAAGCCGGATGATTGCCCGGAGGCCATGCTGCAAAGCCCTATTTCGTTATTATACACTTTAGCCTGAAAAATATAGGAATCATTGTGTGTGAAGAGGCGCCTTTCCTTCATGCATTATGATCTGTATTGGTGATTTAAAGTGCCCCCACCTGGCGCAACCTCTATTTCCTTTGTCTTGCACACCGCGACTACATCCAAACGTAATCTATTTGCCATTCAAGTGGTTCGAGAATGTGGTTTATGGCTCTGAAGCGGGGAACATTTTGAAGATGTGTAGGGTCCATGAAAGACTGATTCTGACAATGTTGACAGATGTTGACCAAGTTTTATGGTATCTTTCTTTTTTCCTTTTTAGTTTAGCTCATCCCGAGCTCATTTTAGTCTTGTTCTAACTTGAGGACAATTTAGGTTTAAGCTTGGGGTGATTTGATAGTTTATTTTATTTCATTCTCTTTATTAGTTTATTTTAGATTTTTTAGGTCTTTTTATTGGTATTGAATTGTATATTCTTTATTTTCTTTATCATGGATCGTGTCGGGTACTTTCTATTTTGCATGAGATATTTTGCAGGGTTTTAGAGCTCGTTGCGGTTGCGGTTTGACTCGAGTTGGGCTTGGTGGGCTTTTCGATGCATTATTGGGCTTTATGGATCCATCAAAGGAGATTTGGGCTTAAAAAATTGAAGACTTGGATGAAGTGGACTTGTGAAGATGGGTCATGGATTCTTATTTTGGGCTTGGACTATCCATATTATAAAGCTTGAAGATGATTGGCCAAATTTGAATCATGTGAGGTATGGAGGGGACCAAGGGAATCTTGCGTAGTGGGGTGTGTAGTGGAGAAAATATGAGCCAATAGCATTCCAACAATATTTGCGAGGGTGGAGTCTCAGTCGTGCAACACATGCGAGGGTACTCGCGCAACTGCACACTTTTGGGCATTTTGGTCATTTTGCTCACCATTTACTTGGAGGGTTAGGTCTAGCAGCTCATTCTTCGATTTGACACCATTGGAGACCATTAGAGGCGATTTTTGGAGCTTGATACTCATTCTTCTCATCTTTCTAAGTAATTGATGGATTCTTGATGTAAAAACACTTTTGTGATTGTTATATTGTTGCCATGAGTAGCTAGTTTCTCTATTTTTGTTAACTTTGGCTAAAACACTTGGATATTTCTTATGCTTGTTTAATACTTTGATCATGAGCTTGGTACTTGAATGAGCAATTGTTGGTTTATTTCTTTGGTTTAGCATTGAATCATTGAGTTTACTTAGAACAAGGGATTTATGATGGTAGAAATCATCTCTAGCTTATGAAACATGACTCCTTTATGGATATGTAAGCATTGGCATCCTCTAGGAATTAGGGATTCCTTCATTCTTAAGGCTAATCAACTTCTTGGGTTCAATTGCTTCAATTGAATTCTTGATTTTGATTAAGAATATGTGTTGTGGGCTTCCCCAACCTCCATACTACCTATGAGGAATCTTGGCATATCATGCTTCATGATTGCTATAACAAATTTGGGATAAATGATAAGCTTCATATTGAATCCTAATGATAAACACACAAATGTTCATTGTGTTGAATTGCCTTGGTTAACCAAATTTCTCCAATATTTGAGCATCTCACCATCTTGCTTAATTTCAAGCTTTTTAGTTATTCAAGTCTTTTAGTTTTCAATCAATCACAACATCCCCCTTTAGCTTAATTGTAGTTAGTTAGTTAGTTTATTTACACTAGTTCTATTGGATTGCATTGGTGATTGAATACAACCATTTTCCCGAGGATCGATACCCCTTTTACCATTATATTGCATTTTATTTGCAAACAAAGGGTGTAATTTGCTTGGTGGACTTGACATCCCACCACGTGTACCGAAGATAGAAGGGGCTAAGTGAAAGATCACCAATATAAAAAAAATGTTTGGATATCAGTTGCTTCATTATTAATACTATGGACGATGGTGAGTGGAAAACCTTCATCCATATCACAGCCGTTGAAACTCATGAAAGTTTTAATCTCAGCCGCTTAAACGCAATATTTACGGTTGTGTGCAGTTCCAACAATCAGTTTCGACGACCCTCCTGCTTCTTCTCCCCACGATTTCTTGCAAGCTTCTTATTCGCTAACTGGTACAATCACGTCGTACAAATCAGCCTATATATTGATCGTTCGATGTTTAATGTTTCCATTTTTCAATTGGTAAAAAGAATTGCTTCATTTGATGTTATGGATTCCAATTCGTCTGATATTTGTTCACCTAAGGTAAAATATTGACTTCTGTAATCGATTCCTTTTATTTGTACTTCATTTCATTTCTATGTTTCAATTCGTAAAAAGAATTGCTTCATTTGATGTTATTGATTGCAATTCGTCTAATATTTGTTCACCTAAGGTAAAATATTGACTTCTGTAATCGATTCCTTTGATTTGTACTTCATTGCATTTCTATGTTTCAATTGGTAAAAAGAATTGCTCCATTTGATGTTATGGATTGCAATTCGTATGATATTTGTTCACATAATGTAAAATTATTGACTTCTGTAATCGATTCCTTTGATTTGTACTTCATTGCATATTCAATTTCGATGTATAATTGAAGTTAAAATTCACTTATGTTTCTATTTTCGATTTCATAGTATTTAATTGTGTTCCGTATAATTTTCATGTAGAAATTTGAAGATGTTGAGGGAAAAGTCAATCCACAATCAGATGTATCATTCATACCACTGAAAAGAGAGTGAAAGTTTTCATTCAATCTCAAAATCGAGTCATGAAACTTTTTGATGAATTAGATGTTGATGAGTGATTTAGGTTTAAAACTTTCTTTATTTTGTTTTTGTTAGTTGTATTGGTTTTTTGCATTTGCTGCAGTTAGTTGTTATGTGTTTTTTTGAATGAATGTTTCAAAGTTTTTAAATTGTAGTAAAATGTTGTTTATGTTACTTCAATTGTCTTGCTATTAATCAAGGTAACCTACTTTCATTCTCAACTTACTTCAGTAGCTTTGCTTTCCTTTATTATGTTATGAATTGATAAAAACAACAATTATCCACTTTATTATACTCGGGTGTAACACAGAAGAAAACATTACACACCAAAGACATAAATGTATCTGACACAACACACAATGATAAGACACATAAAGTATACCAATTACAAGACACATAAAGTAGCTTTGCAGGTTTTTTTTAGCAAAACTCGTGTTTTTTCATTTGCACTAATTTTTTCACTCCTACATGCTAATCATTTGTTTTTTTTTAATTATTTATAATATTTGAGTGCGGAATGGAGCTTAGCAACTCGAAGGTCAAACAGTAATGGATGTAATTGCAGAAATGACCCTACCCTATTTTAATACCTCATGTTAACCTCTGGGACACATGGTCAACAAAGGTTGACCGAGCTTCCTCCTTGGTCTGTTTTCCCGTCTTCTAAGGTTGAGTCTGTAGGCCATAGAGGTTGTTTTCCCATTTTTCCCTTGGGATCTTCTTATTCCTAAGAGGAGAATATACTACCTAGCAACCTTTTTTAAGGTCGGGACCTTTAATGGTGATGAGTGGCAGGCTTTTGCTTCTGATATTAAGGGAAGACAAAGGTTGGTTTTTGAGGTTTGTTCTCTTATGATATAATTACATAAATTTATTAGTTATACATTGGAAATATCGTACATTATAAATTTGACAGTTAGTTAAAGCAAACACATATTTGTATGTACATATCTTGAGATAATTTCCATCTTATGATTTGTATGTTCAAAAATAATGTTCTTGGGTCCATACTTTCAATCATATTTTGAACCCATTAAAATGCTTAGTAGTTAAGCACTTAGTCATGAAAGTTGTTTGTTGGAAATAATAACATTGAACTTATTTTCAATAAAAATTATATTATTTTTCTTATTTAAGCATTGTACTTTCAAATATAGCATCATACTTTAATATTCAATTCTTATTTTCAAAAAAAAAATTATGTTATTTTCTTATTTAAGCATTGTACTTTCAAATATAGCATCATACTTTAATTTTTAATTCATATTTAAAAAAAATATATATTTTTTTTCTTAT